AATTAGTTCATGACTACAGTCCATTCATATCATAACAGACCCTGATATTTATTTTGGTCTAACTCTGATCTTCCCGAATCTCTTACATCAACCATTTCAATTTTTCCCATTTTCTTCAGTAGTTTCTTTCGAAGTTCCGAGTGAAAGTTGCATAACTCACTATGGATACGTCACCCTTCTCATAAAACTTTCCTTGACGTTGCTGTGGCAAGCATGGGCTTCTGTCCGCTGTAAGTGGCGATCGGATCCGTCTGTTTATCACTCGCAATCGGAACGGATACGGAGTTCGCGACCCGACAGAATATGGAGGAATACGGAATAATGCCTTGTGGTTTTCAGAAAACGGGTCGCGTGCGGTCCGTATGCGGTTCCTATTTCAATGAGAATCCCGCACTCCTATCTCATGTAGTTGTCATCCGGAAATGATTTTTTCACCAAATCAGCGGAAATAAGGGAATATATATATATATATATATATATATATATATATATAAATTTGGAAATTTCCGTTTTGGATTATCTCCAAAACGATTTATGCGAGGGCTTAAGATTTCATGACTCCGGATTTCTTAATTTTTTTTTGCAGATTTCTTTTGCATTTTCTGAAAAAGTTGAATTTCGAAATCATGATGTTTTTAGAGTTTTTGAAATTTTGAATTACTAAAATTTGAAAATCTTGTTTTTTTGAATTTTCAAATTTCTAAATTTCTGAATTCCGAAACTTCGAAAATTCGAACATTTTGGACTTCTGAATTTCCGGATTCTGGAACTTCAACTTTCCGAATTTCTGAATTTTTCAAAATTTTCGAATTTCTGAATTTTTGAATTTCTGAAATATTGATCATTTTAGTTTTTGAATTAAAATTTGAAATTGCGAATTTTTTGGAATTCTGAATGTTTGAAGTCGTGAATTTCTGTTTCTCTGAATTATCGAATTTCCGATCACTTGACTTTCTGAAATTTCAATATTCCCAAATTCCAGGCCGCTGACAACCACGCCTACTGTGTCCAATGCTTTGCTCAAAAGTACAATCCAAAATGTGCCGGTTGTCAAGAGACTCTTGTTGACACGTGTCTTCTGGCTCTCGACCGTCACTGGCATCCGAGATGCTTCACTTGCTCATCGTGCAATCGTCCACTTCCAAACGGCGAATTCTATTTGGTCGACGATAAACCATACGATTTGGACTGTCACTGGGCGAAACGTCTCGAGAAGAGAGAGCATATGGAAAGAGGAGAGCGTTAGAGAAAGACGTCCAAAAACAATTCGGAGTCCTAGAGATTGGTTTATTAAATAATATTTGTGTTTATTTGTGTTTAAAAAAAATGTTTTTTTGTATTGTATTTTTGTGATTCGAGACCGAATTGCCCCCGATTTAACTGAACACATAAACTCTTCTATTTTTGTAATGAATGTAATTTTTTGTTTTTAAAAAATTTTGGAATTCCAAAAATTCTAAAAATCAGAAATTCGAAAATTACGAAATTCAGAATCTCCGAATCTCAGAATCTCAGAACCCCAGGGTTTCAGAATCTCAGAATTTCAGAATTTCAGAATTTCAGAATCTCAGAATCTCAGAATTTCAGAATCTCAGAATTTCAGAATTCTGAAATTATGAAATTCAGAATTCAGAATGCACAATTCAGAATTCAGAAGCTCAGTAATTCAGAAATTATCAATATTCAGAGATTAAGATAACTTTAAAATTCAAAATTTCCATGAATTTCAAGATTCAAAAATTCGAAATCCATAAGTTCAAAAGTTCCGAATTCCTTGAATTTCTGTAAATCTAAAAAAATTCGGCATTTTTAGAATTTCTAGAATATCCGGAATTTTCATAATAATTTCTTTGAAATTATTGAAAAACTGAAACTTTCAATTTTTCATTTTTCAGGAATTCCATTTTTTTTTGGGATTTCTGGAGTTTTGAAAATAAAGCTTGTAGCCATTGAGAAATATTTTTTTCAAAAAGCGAAAAATAAAAATTTCGAATTTCATATTAGGCCAATGACTATGCCCATTTCTGGTTTCGAAAAATCACATACTGATTATTTTTAATCATTAAAAGTTTATTGAAACACATTCAATACATTTCAATAAACTACAATACATTTTTTCATTTTTCAAGACAAAAGTGGTGGGGGGGGGGGGCGAGGGGAGAAGAGGGGAAAAAGAGTTCTGGCCACAAAGTTCAAGAGTCAGAATTTGAAGAAAAAGGATTCGGCGCGCTCGACGCTGTAGTATTTTTTGTTGGGGAAGAGGAAGGAAATATAAATAAAAAAGAGGAGGAAAAAAGTAGATTCACAGAGACACAAAGAATTCGAAAAAAAGAAGAAATCAAAGGAGAAAATACATAAAATAGAATCGAAGGAGATTATTTGAAAAGGATGGTACAAAAAGAAGCGAGATGAGTAAAAATATGATTTTTGCCGTTTTTGTTGAAAAGATGGGCTGTTCGAAAATTAAGATTACATGAATCTATGAGTCTACGAAGTTGTTTGAATTTTAGGAATTTTAAGAATTTTAAGAAAATTTTACACAGGGCGACAAAAAATGTGTTGAAAAATGAAGTGCAGGGGGATTCTTTTTTGGAACACCGGGTTCTCGGAAGGGGGCGGGGCTTAGAAGGTAAATCTAGGTTAATAATAATAATAGTCTCACATTTTGAGCAACAAAACATTGGTCCTTTTCAGAGAGACATTCAGGGGAAAAGGGGCGGGGTTTCCAGAAGAGAAGCTCCGCCCAGTTTCACCCGGGGACACACACTGGGCGAAAAGAAACTTGGGTAAAATGAGTAAAAAGGGGGCGGGGCGTCTACTGCAAAAAAAAGAACCATCTAGATGGAAGCGGATGGGGGCGGGGCCGGGGGCTACTACGGTTTTTCTGAAATTTGATTGATGGAATTTTTTTTGTTGGATAGAAAAAAAAACATGATGACAGATGGATGGATGATGGAGCAAATTTTTGACAATTTTGGAAAAAAAAGAGAAAAACGAAATGGGCGGAGCAAAACGAAAAAAGGAAAAGAAAAAAGCGAGTAGTCTTTCTAGCATGGTCTAATCGGGTTTTTTCTTCCAGCATCTAGTGGCCTAGAAATATTTCTAGGCCATGAGAGACGCAGAGAAGAAAATTTCTCACAAATGTACTGTATATTCACACTTTTTACATTTTGTTGGGGGTATACAACAGACGCGATTGATGATGGGGGTGGGGACAGAGATAGGAATGCAAATTCGCTCTATTGACAAAAATTTCAAAAAATGTCAATAGAGCGAATTTGCAAAAAGGTTAGTAAAATCGAGAGAAGGTTTAATATTTGTTGTGTCCATGGTACGGTGCCATTGGGAACATTGGCGATTGAGCCTCCAGGGCCAAGTGCTGTCCGCCACTGTTTAGGCTGTACAGGCTGGACGAGTCGAATTGATGGGGTCCACGGTTTGAGGAGCCGCCGGGGGTGGAGAGGCCAGAGTAGGCGCCTGGCATGTTGTTGAAAACTGAAAACGGAAAAAAAGGTTGTTTGTTGAGGTGGCCTAGAAACCGACACGGTAGCCTAGAAATCCAAAAATTAGTATTTTAGGCAACTGTTGTCTTTCAGGGATTCCAGGACCAAACATAAATTGATGGCATGATTGCCTAGTATCTATGATTGCCTAGTATCCGACAAGATGGCCTAGATATTCAAAATTTGTGATTCTAGGTCACTGCTTGATTTCGGGGGTTCCAGGACATTCTGGGTTTTGTATGATGACCTAAAATCCGACAAGATGGCCCAGAATTCGAAAATTGGTATTCTAGGCCACTGGTTCATTCTTTCTAGGCCACTGTTTCATTCTGAGGATTCTAGACAATTCTAAACTTCGCGTGATGGCCTAGAAATCAACTTTTTGGTATTCTAGGTCACCGTTAGATTTGGCGATGGTCTAGAAATCCGAAATTTAAAATTCTAGGCCACTTTTTGATTTTGGGAATTCTAGAACTATCTAGATATCGTATGATGGCCTAGTATCCGACAAGTGGTCTAGATATTCAAAATTTGTGATTCTAGGTCACTGCTTGATTTCGGGGATTCTAGAACATACTAGATATAGAATGATGACCTAGAAGTCTAAATTTTAGGTTTTAGGAATTCTAGAACGTTCTTGACATTGCATGACAGACTAGAATCCGACAAGATGGCCTAGAAATCCACAATTTGGAATTCTAGGCCACCTTGTCGCCTTGAAGCCTAGATAGAGTGACCTAGATGTTTGACCTAAAATTTCTCAAATTCACTAAAAATCTCAGCCAGTCCATTAGAGCGAAATTGCACCCATTTACTAAAAGCCCGCTATAAATCACTCCCTTGAGAGCTTTTCAAGAGAGCCGGATGCTCCAAAAAAAGAAAAGGAAGTCATCAGGTTGAGTGGCTGGTTTATGAGTTGGAACGGGGGTCCGAGAACTCGGAGATAAGTGGGCGGANCCTAAATTGCAAGCTACGCGCACGGTTTAGCTTTTCCCATGTCTGTATGCGATTAGCGAAACCGTACGCCACTAGCGTTTTAGGCTCCGCCAACTTTTCC